CCTCCTCTGGGCTTTCTTATCCATCTTTCCACCTTTATCTCTTAATTTTTCTGTTGTCACAAATCTTTTTATCACTACTCGTGATCTCACCTTTATTCCCTGTCTTACCTTTTCTGTCTCCGCCTTTAATTCAAACCGCCCCTCCTCTCTGTCTGCCTTTTCCGCTTCCTAATTTTCTCTCTTAACCTCAACTTTTTTTTTTCTTTATCTCTCTCTCTCTGCTTTTTCCTGCTCTTCTCCAAGCCTCTCTCTCTCTCTACTCCACTTCTCCTCCACCTCCACGCTCTTTTCACCTATATCTCTCTCTCCTCAAACACTTTTTCTCTCTAACTTTCTCACCAAAACTCGTACTTATAGTCAAAACACGTCCACTCCCTTCCCCGAGTCGAAACCCACTATATATATATATATACATATATATACGAAAATAATGTATGATGTGTTTTAATTTCCTTTTGTCGGCCATTCGCTTAAAGTTTGAGTTTATGGGAGTTAGCGCCGGCTTCCTTAACCGAGATAGGACTCAAAATCACGGGGCATAGCTGTGACGTACCGTAGCTAATGAGTTTTTCCCTTGCAAGGTACTCACCTTAATCAATTCTATTTTCGAAAAACCTATTTTACCATAATCAAAATACAAAATTAGTTAGATTTTCAATAATGAAAATGATGTGAAGTTTCATACAGTTTCCCTGCTAAAACAAGGACATTCAACCGGATTGAAAATCCAATCCGCTTTGAGTCTGTTTCTGAATCCTACAAATAACAATTGAAATTCATTAAAGTAGAATGAATCTTAATTCACTTTAATGTTTTTTTATCCCGAAATTAATTTTACATATTATAATAATTAATTTCAGGATTGAAAAATATTAAAGGGGATTCAGATCGATTCCAGTTTGATAAATTTAAATTGTCATTTGTAGGATTCAGAAATAGACTCGAAGCTGATTGGATTTTCAATCCGGTTGAATGTTCTTGTTCTAGCAGGATTATCTGACGTATAATGGATACTTAGGTCAATCAGAAGATCTTGAGGATAACGCAACTTGTACAACATGCAACAAATCTGTAGATATTTCTGGTTTAGCATGAGAATACTTATTTGTAATAATTAATCCATCGTTTCCAATAATAGAATTATTAGATTGTCACAAAAATTATTACGATTATATTGTAAATCACCGACCTAATGAGGAAAATATCATAAAAGATATCTATAACGGTAAAAAATATGAGTTCGTGGATTCCCTACCAGATGAAGACAAACACAAATATGTATTGTAACGGCCAGCCGTAACTTAGTTCTTTTTCAATATTAATCAATAGAAATAAATATCAAGAACGGAGCGGGAATTTTCCTGATTTCCTACGATGAAAAAGCATTCGAGATAAAGAGTTTATATAAAACTTGATTGTGGCCCGAGCCTGCGACGCTCTATCCTGCTTTGTCCCACGCGGATATGTTGACAGGAGCCTACGATCATCGCGTATACATCGCGAAGCGTTATCGCGCTCATAATGGAAGGGGGCCATAAAAATGCAATTTATCTTTTTTTCCCACCGAATTTTAAGAAAATATCCGTAATATTAAATAGATTTTAATTAATTTTGTTAGTTATTATAATGCGCATCTTTTAGTCACCAAATAACCAATAAATAATTTTATATTAGAACAATAATGCATTTTATAATAAATCGTAGAAGTTTTGGATTTTTCTAAATATTTATAATAATTGAATTATTGTAATAATAACTATGTATCGTTAAAATTAACTAAGTTTAGTACGATTTTATATAAGTAATTATAAACTATAGCGTTACTCTTGCTCTTAAAAGTAGCACTCCGAGAGCCATCTAGAGAAAAGGGCCCAAGTTAAAAAGGGCTTTCTCTCTCTGAAAATTCACGCCCACAGACCAATAAAGAAATCCTAGATATGATTAGAAAATTTCCCACCAATACAAAATTTGGCCGTTATCGCTTCATGGGCCTGAGGAAAGAAATTTCCACCCAACCACCCACTGCTTATAAAAAGCTCTGTATAAGACTGGAGGAGTGGAGTGAGTACCAGGAAGTGCCTAATAAGAAGTGACTACCAGTGAGTAAGTGCTGGAGGAAGCATCAGAGAAGAAAATTTTGAAGAAGTCAGCCAAAATTCAATCAAGAAGTCACCCAACTACATCCAGAATAGAGAGAAAGAGAGAGAAAGAGGTTAATGAGCAGAGAGAGCGCAGCCTTAATAATAAGTAATTAAATAAAATAAAAGTAATTAAAACCTTATATCTGGCTATCCTTTTCTTTCTTTAAGCAATCCGTTTTTTGGAAATTCATTAAGCGTGAGTCTGGTGAATTTTCATTAAAGTCCCTTAAGAACACATTAAGCGTGAGTCTGGTGTGTTCATAATAACATTTGATTATTACATACCGCGCTAGCATACAGTTTTCTCCACGCAACAATATTGCTCATCCCAGCTTATGTGTTACACGATAGCCAAATCAGAGCAACCCTGAGTTTACGCTTACTCCAAGCGTACCTGAGAGTGACCCCGACGTCACAGTATCGACAATATTTAATACCGATGGAGCTTCTCCTTTCAAATCTACCCTTTCCTCATTATAACCTATATATTTAATGGTGAACAAAATACCCCCACAAGAACGGTTTAATAACTTGATCCCTTGTGGATTATGGTTTAATAAAACAAAACCTAACATCATGGTATTTTTAGACAGTTTTGTAGACATGATAAATAACAAAGTAAGTAAAGGTACAACATGTACTATAAAAGAAGAGGTGAGGCAGATAAAAGGATACACGCTAGTCATTTGCGTAGACTTACATAAAAACTTACGTAAGAACTTGCGTAGATACAGTCGCAAGAGCACAAATTCAAGGAATAAAACAATTCAACGGAAAATTCGGATGCAACTGATGTTTGCATCCGGGTAAATGGGCGGGTAGCATGAAATATTCTGCGTATGGTGAAGATGCTCTAGATGATATTCGTCAAAGAAACGTTCAATCTACAATTGAGTATATGAAAAAATCTGTAGACGATGATTACAAACCTATTGATAGGATCAAACATCCTTCTCTTTTCATGTACTTGAAAAAATTTGATATAATAGAAAAAAGATTTGGTCCTGATTACATGCACAATAGTTTGATAGGAGTTGGCCAGCAAATAACGAATCTTCTATTTCAAAATCAAGATTTGAATATTATTTAGTTGCTGTTACAAAAAATAAAATTTCCCTAATCAGGTTTCACGGTTAAGAAGGTCTTTGAGTGATTATAAGTTCTGAAAATGTAGAGAATGGGAAAACTGGATATTATATCCTAGTGCACCAATATTTTCATTAGTCCTATCGCCTACTTTAATTCATTATTAGACTTTATTTGTTGCGAGTCTGTACCTAATATTGTCAACTAAAGTTAGTATTGCACACAAAGCAGATGAAATGCTCTAAGAATTCGTTTTTAAAACTCAAAAAAACTTTGGAATTACTGATATGACATCTAATATTCATGCACTATTGCACCTTGCAAGAAATGTTGTGAACTGAGGCCAGCTTTGAGCACATTCCATTTTTTCTTTCGAAGCAGGAAACCATTATATTTTACAAGGCATTCATTGTGCATATGGAGTAAGTTTACAAATTCTAAGGTATATTAATGTTAATCACATTACATTAATTTTGGAAAAGAAAATTTTTTCCACTGCTCCAGAAATTGTGAAAGTATATTTAAACAATAATTGAAGTTGAAAATTAAAAAAAATATTAAAATTAATGAAATAACATACTTTGGAAAAGCTGTTTCGATAAAATTCAATATGGCTAATAATTATCAATTACCAGAAGCAAGCAAATGTTTTAAAAGAATGCACAAAGACAATTGTTTATACTCATCGTCTTTAAAAGTTAATAAACGCTCAGATAATGCCTTTGCTCAGTTGGTCAACGGATGTTTTTTAAAGATCAATCAATTTATTATTGATCATCATAATAAAGAAGAATATACTTTATATAATATTATTTGCACCATTCAGAATAATTTAATTAATAATTATCAAGCGCTTCGTAGGATTGCAAGAATAGAAAATTCACTAACTATTATATACTATAAAAACTGTTGGTATTTATATGGAAGTGAATAAACAGGAATACATTTGTCCATTGTCAAATTTGTTATTTTACTAATACATTGCAATATTAATGTTTACTAAAATACCTTATGCTTATTTTTTATGAATAATAGCGCATGGTTAAATATAATATATTTTTGCATTATTTTTGTACAGAATAAATAATAATTATAATCAATTGAATATTATTTCACGCTATTACTTTATGATTTTGTAACTGTAATAAATCATTTTTGTATTTCAATATAATCTTTATTAATCAGCTTAATCTTGATCACTTCCTTAAATTATTTACTTTATAAGCGTATTTCAAATATATGCACATTTTATATATCTTTGGTTTCTCTAATCTTTTTTTTAGTTGTCATTGTGGAGAGAAATTATTTTCACATTCATATAGTTTGTGTCAAATTACTACAATAATAAAAATAATAAGTAACAAATTTTTTTTAAATGAAATTGTTGATAAGTTCTTACGTAAAAACTTATGTAAGAACTTGCATAAGAACTTACTTGATATTTTTAGGAGAGTATTGATGATAGATAAAGCGGTAATAACTTCTTTTGTGTTAATTATAAATAAAGAACTAATATTTTTTTCACATGCGAAAGTGACCTTCATTATTTCGTACCCGAAAATAATATCAACAAAATTCATAAAGCGGAACAAGGATTGTGTATACAAAAACTTCTAGAAAACTTTTTTACGTATTAAACACTTTTCCACTATTAATACATGAAATGGGATGGAGGAAGAAATTTGTGGAAATGAAATAATTTGTTGCAAGTGAAGATAGTTTTCCACACAAATTTTTTGCCCCCTAGATAGTCTCAAAATTATAAAGTATTACCTCGAATAGTCATCTGTACTGTACTTTCTTATAATCAAAGAAAGTAAGATAGTTTAGAGGTTATTACTCAAGGTTATTTCATATTTAGATCACTATATTACAGTTTGATATGGTTAATAAAATGATTGTAATCCTTTAAAAACACTTATAATTATTCTTGGAAAATTTTATATTTTCATAGAAAATCTACTTTGCAAAATGCCACCAATACTATTTGAAATGTTAGGTAGCTTTTCTCACAAATAATTGTTTAGTCAGTGCTCAAACTATTTCAAAGTCACTACTACATTAAACTATAAATAATAAAAATAACAAAGGGGGCTTACTCTTAGTCAAAAGTGATTTCAGTCAAGAAAGTGCACTAATGCATGCTGTGAACATTTTATATATAAATAACTAAATACATAAATAAATAATAATATAGCCACAATATGCCATAGATCATGAAAAATTGTATATGATACTAACATATATAATCCATTTTTGGGATCGTACATAATAACATAGTAGTAATACTATTTTTGTTATTTCTGAAAATATTTATAAGTAATTTATAGCATCCTTGTCAATTTTACAGAAATCTTAGGCTATAAATAGTAAGGAAGTTACAAAAGCATACATAGATAATAGGTCTATAAAAAAATTGGTCTACAATATGATTTCATTGATATAAATGGAAGAATTTCAGCTTGAATAAATTCCATTGCCATAAGACTAAAACCTTCTGATAACAAGTAGCTAATAATTAGTTTTAATGTTATCACGTTATCAAAATTTGCAGTTAACTACAAATTTAATAAAAACATCTTGCCAAAGCATTTTTGATAAAATATCAAATATACCAAAATTTTTATACTACATATATATATATATACATAATTTTTTATCCAATATCTGTCTCTAAGTATATATGCTTCATAGCAACTATGATACGCTGAAAATATATTCTGTAAAAAATATATTTTAAGTAAAATATATGAATTTGTACAAACTAGAAACTCAGTAAGTATAATATATTATGCAAACTATAAAACAAACAATATTCTGTTTAAAAAAAGTAAAACTTGACTTTTAATTATAGCTTAACCTTCCTTGATCACCATAAATTAATATTGATCATCCGTATTCACTGACACTCTATTCATATAAAAAAGGATACAGAATCAGCATGTTGTAAATTACGTTGACAAATCCCTGTATGTGCTTGCCAAATTTTAATAGTATGATCATAACTACCAGTGGCAAGAATTACATGACTATTATGGAATTCTGTTTCGATCATTATTTAATTATCAATCATTTAATTATAAATTATAATTATGAATTCGATTATCAACTTCAACTTTGTTAAGAAAATAAATTTTTACAATTATTCAGAATGAATAACCTAATTGATGACCAACTAACTAAAAAATAATCTTCTAATTAATCATCAATTTATACATTTTTTGTCTAAAATGTCTGTTTCATACATATTCTTTACTGATGCAGTACTACTTATACTCAGTTTTCATTCTTTCATTTGTACGATGTTATAAGTACCTTATGACGTTTCACAAGCTCAGCGAATTGCTCGTTTTCGATCAACTTAATTTAGATATACTAATTAAAATATTTGATTATACTATAGATATTGTATAAAGGAGACGGAACAGCTAGTGGTATGTCTAAACGAGGAGATGTTACTGCTAGACATAATAATGTATAAAATACTGTCGCGTTGGTAAAGGTTGGATCTTAGTCAGCTCCATCGACTTAGCAACCATATCGTCGGAAAATTGAAAAAAAAAATACCCTATCAAAGGATTTTCAATGCTCTTTCCGAATATTCTTCCAAAAAATTTTCTCTTCTTATAGTTTACCAGATAAAAAGTAAAATTGCAGTTGCTGGCGCTGACCCGTTTTTAATCCCTATCTTGACCTACGGATGAGCAATTAAAATATGATTATGCCAATCGAATGCTCCTAATTTTCTCTTTCGATTGGTATCATTAGTTTTTAAATATCTTCAACCGTAGCCTCAGAAATAATTAATAAATTATTCCATGTTAAATGATACGGCCATCAAATGCAGTCATACGCATGCGCGAGCGCGCCGCCATGACACCCTAAGCAGATGGGCTTACGTTTGAAATAATTTATCCTGGCGTTCGTATAGTTTAATATATTACTTTTTCTGCTAATTTATTATTCCTATAAATAAAGGCATTTGTAGAATCTCAATTTTCTTCAGCAGTTTTCTTATACGAGGGGCAAATTCATTGTGCAGATAGTTTGGAGTATTCCAGTTATCAAAGAGTTACGTATTATACTCATATATGTGGGTGATAATTTTCAGAAACGAACTAAATCGATGAGAATCCCCACTTAAAGCCTGCTGAAGGATTCTCATCGATTTAGCATGCATTATTTTTCAAACTCGAATTTTCCCACAAGTTTCCTTATACTAGCAGCGAGCTTGGCCTACAGGTAGTACAGAGTGTCGAGCTGTTATCTTAAGAGAGATGGGTGGGATAATTTTTCAAACAAACTAAATCGATGAGAATGGTTCCTTAGAGTCCTCTGAAGGATTCTCATCGATTTAGCATGCATTATTTTTCAAACTCGAATTTTCCCACAAGTTTCCTCATACGAGCAGCGAGCTTGGCCTACAGGTAGTGCAGAGTATCGACGTGTTATCTAAAGAGAGATGGGTGGGATAATTTTTTAAACAAACTAAATCGATGAGAATGGTTCCTTAGAGTCCTCTGAAGGATTCTCATCGATTTAGCATGCATTTTTTTTCAAACTCGAATTTTCCCACAAGTTTCTGTTGTAGAAGTTCAGAATGTGAAATGACGAAATCATCCAATTTCATTGTGAAAAGGTTGTTAGCTGAAATAGTAAGTTTTGAAGGAGAACCTTTATCATCCCTCAAACCACTTGAAACTGCTTTTCTTGCCTTTGATACGTTCACATCTGTATCATTCGCCATACTAACGGTGAAGTAATCATTCATAAATTCATCATATTTTATCGATGACTGCAATTGAGTGAAGCTGTTAATCAAGTCATGTTTGAAGTGAATGCTTGTCCAGAAAGAATAGAAAGATAAAAAATTTGTGAAAGCGTTTGCCATGTCATCGCCGATATGAGGATATCCACGGAACTTTTAACTTTCGGGAAAGAAAAAAAAAATTTTTTTTTTTGATAGCACACTCTAAACAAAAATTTTTTGTACAGTATTATGTCCACAAAGGAAGAAAAAAATAGTGCTCACGATTTTTTTAAATAGTTATTTTTTTAAAAAAATTAATAAAAAAATTAAAAATTAAAATTATTCACTTTAACGATTACGGTTTCCAATGAGATAGTATAGTTGTTTTTAAACTCAATAACTGTCACTTTATTATTCAAAAATGATTTTCGAAACATATCAATATATTATAAATCTTATAAATAAATATATTATTTATATAACGTCAAAATAACAATATAAAATATAACCAAATCATTTTTTTTACAAGCTTCTCTTCTTAGGCGCTACTTTCTTTGGTTTTTTCTTTAGTTCTCTTTTTATTGTTGAGGGAGATAAATTCCAGCTTTGAGGTTTCAAAGCATAATGATCGCATGGCAGTTTTTCAGAACATGTATTACAAGAAAGATAATTTAAATACAATAATTCTTTTTTTTCTTCACTCCACAACAATTGAAAGATTTGGTTTGAATTTGGAGCTGCTTTTAAATCAGATCTAACGAGTAAGTCTATAGCTTCAATATCACATAACTCTACTTCAAAGGTTTCAATTTTAGTTTTCGATTCTTTTTTCAGTGCTGTTATTATATCTTTGACTGAAGTAATATCGTTTCCTAACAAAACATGATCATCACATAATCGCTTTATTGTTCCACCTATAGCATCGGCACTGCTCTTTCCATGACCTGGCGTCGAGATATTCCAGGATGCTCGCTTGAGTTTGAGCTTGTTGCAGAAATGATGAAATAGTTGGAAATTTGTTTTATTCTTATATTGGGTTGTAGGCCCATCGCTCCTAAAATGAATACTTTCTACATCCGGTACAACCGATTTTATCAAGGCAATAATTGGCTGCATATGAGCCCACACAGCCGCTGCATCGTGTCTCAAACTCTCAGATATCGTACAAAATGATTTACAAATAATGTCGCCATTAGATCGTTTATAATAGAAAACCCCAGTATGCATAGTTAACTGTTTTGCAGAGGCACCAAAATGTACTGCTTGTATCTCGCTTGCGTATTTACATACATAGTTTTCCGAAAAATCTATAATAACATATGCTTCATTTGCTCTCAAGTTAGATTTTATCATGTGAAAGAAATTCATCTGATGGCTTGTATTGTAAACATGTTTCAAATATGACGGTAACAGTAGATTTAAATCTTCAATTATTTTAGAAACTGAACATTCTATTTTAGTCTTTTTAGTGATATTAACAACATAAGTTTTATTATGTTTGCCTATTCTACTTTCTTTGTCAGTAACCCATTTATAGTAATAAGACTGCTGTCTATTTTCAGCTCTTTTAACAATTCTTCTCTTACATATTGAACACTCTCTATAAATGCATGCTTTACTATTCAGATCACATACAATACGTTTAATAAACATATTTGCATTTGCAGTTTCGACAATTGAATGATAGAATAATTTCTGTAATAAATAATCAAAATTCGCATGTACTTTGCATAAACATGTGTCTCGAGCAGATAATTTCTTTTTTAGAATCCAAAACGGTTTGTATCGAAAAAATGTTGACCTACCTATCTTCAAAGTTTCTTCTTTAAGGAACTTTTTATACAAATTATCGAGAGTATCTGTCAAAAATCGTTTGGTTTTAGTGATACCTTTCTTTGATATAATATCATTTTTACCTGGAGCTACTGATGAATTTTCATCTCTTTCAAAAAAATCACATATGATCTTACGGATTAATTCAGTTTTAATTGTCTTCTTTTTATTGGAGCGACTAAAAACTAATTTACTGTATCTTGAGAATTTTCGCTGATAATAACTGCTGACATATTTATTCATTTTTTTAACACACTTATTTTTTTTTGCGACTCTACCCGATATCAACTGAGCATACATGGATTTATCCTTTTCATTTTTACACTATTTTTTATTAATTAGTATTTGTGATTTGATGACTTCACCTATTATTAAGCTTTTACATATTTCAGATTCTCCTTTGCTCATTATATAATTTACGTTCTTGTTAGTTTCATCATTGTTTTCGTCAGAATTTTTTTTCAGCAATTTGAAGTATTTATTTTTCCATTTCTGACTTTTGATTTCTTTTTTTTTAATAACATTATGTAATTCGATAATAGTTCTTCTGAGTCTTCTTTCTCTATTTTTGGCACAATTCAAAGAAGTTTTTAATTTACCAAGTTCAATATTTAGTTTTTTTGAGTATTCTGAAGAACATTGTGTTACATTGTTAGTTGAATTTACGCTCATAAATTCACAACAACCACTGTGATGAGAAATGCAAGAATTTAGCTCTTCATCTGAATCATGTTTGTTCACATAATTATCACAATTATCAACAGAATCAGGAGTATAAGAAGTATGTGCAGTTTTTTTTTGGGCAGGAGTTTCATTTATTGTAGAAGATTTACGCTTTCGATGATTAAAATAAGTTACTGGTTTGGTTTCCCGGAGGCAACTGCTAATACTTGCACTGTTTTCCAACACTCCATTATTTATACCAGAATGGAAACTAGAATAATGAAAATATAATCAAACTAAAAAAACTGCATTGAATTAAAAGTGCACTTGAAGCATTTGAGCAAAATATAAACTTTATCTATAATTATCCGGCAACAAGTAATATTATATTTTAAACTACTTACGTGTCATATTTGATGTTAGTTTTCTCTCGATTGAATTTTTGAAGTTTAATTTTTTGTAGTTCCTGCTTAGTTTTTAACAGCTGCCTCTTTTCATTAGTCTTTTCTCTTTTCACTCTTTTCAGCTCATCTTCGTTTTTTTTGCAATCCATTTGTAACTTTTTTCAAAAACTTCTCTTTCATTATGAAATAAATATTCAGTATGAATATCGAGAACATTCGCCTGCTAGTACCTACGTTCAACTGACCGCGTGCTCTGCTTACTCAAGCTGAAGACACTCAAAATGTTTGTTTACATATGAACACATGAAATGATTTGCGATGAGCACTTATTCCAGTTCAAAACAAATATACAGGGTGATTCAAAAACATATGTAACTAATAATTCCATTCGATTCGTCTCGAAAAATTAATTTAGAATTGTGTTCTTAGTTTTTCGATTAAATAATTAGGTAATTAGATAATTAGCTTCAAAGATCGGCCAATCAGTGCACAGCTTTAGAAGAACGAGCGCTTGGTGGCGAGCGCGGAGCAGTGAGGGGAGGCCAGCGGCGCGCGCCGCCGCTGATTGCAAGCGGTGCTCAACCCAATCTTGCAACACGGAGCTCCCACGTCTACATACTGATATACGTATTCATTGATTGAACGCGTATCAATAAAAAGAACGGTTCAATACCGATTGACTAATAACAATGATGTACGTGAAAGCTTTTGTGTTTATTTTGCGAAATAGGTTATTTAGTATTCGTAATCGTCGAATTCAAACTCGCTGTCTTACTTAAGAATTATGTTCATTTAAT